ATTTGCACACCTGATTGTTTGCAGTTTTAACACCGTCCGGAACTTGCATATAAATTTCTTCCTTTAATGTCCCGTTTAAGAAAGCCGTTTTTACGTCCATGTGATGGACTAACAAATTAAACTGATTGGCAATTGCTAACAGTAGCCTGAAAGTGGAAATCCTTGCGACTGGTGCAAAAGTCTCTGTATAATCAGCTGGATAAGTTTGACTGAAACCTCGTGCTACCAGTCGCGCTTTGTACCTTTGTGGATTTCCCTGAACATCTGTTTTAATAGTAAAAATCCTTTTACAGCTAACTATGTTTTTATTTAGAGGTTTAGGTACGATTGTCCAGGTATTATTTGCTCGAAGTGAATCCAATTCGTCTTTAATAGCAAGCTTCCACTGCTTCTTATCTGGCCTTGTTTTAATGTCGTCATATGTTAAGGGTAACGACCCTACTTCAGCTTGAGCTGATGCAGCGTAATTTAGGAGTTCATTATGATAACTTTCATCATATGATAGTGGTGGACGAATTTTTAACCGTTCACTTCTGCGTAATGAAATCTCTTGTTTTGGTTCCTCAGTTGATTTTATGACTTTTGGTGACTCACTTTTATTGATAGGAAGCTCATTGTGCAAGATCTCCTTCTAGTTCTCTTGGTCTTGAGACTTTAAAATTTATTTCGTCCGCGACCACATCGCGAGCAATTATAAATTTTTACCATGAACATCCCATATTTTATACCCATTTGGTTCATAGCCTACAAGAATTCCTTTTATTGATTTATTATCACATTTGTTTTCTTGTTTTTACATGACTATTTGCTGTTGAACCAAACACCTTTAAATGATTTAATTGTGGCTTTCGATTGTGCCACATTTCATATGGCGTTTTATTTGTGTTGAGCGCTTTTGTCGGGGTACTGTTGATTAGATATGTAGCAGTTTGAACTACTTCACCCCAAAATGACTTATCAAGATCTGCAGAACTTAACATTGATCGTACTTTTTCGGTTATTGTACGATTCATACGTTCTGTTACGCCATTTTGTTGTGGTGTATGAGGAACCGTTAAATGGAATGCTATTCCTTTTTCTAAACAAAATTCCTTTACTTCATTAGATAAATATTCACCTCCATTGTCATAGTAGAGGTTTTCTAATTTGAGAGAGAAATGTGTCTCACTTTTAGCCACAAAGTCTTTAAAAACTTTACATAATTCTGATTTGTACGTTAATAAATATGTAACTGTATAGTGAGTGTAATCATCAATAAAGGAAGCAAAATAATTTTGACAACTTAATGTTGATGGTGTAATTGGGCCGCATATATCCGAATGGACAATATATAGGGGCCTTTTCACATGACTTTTATTTTTCTTTTTGTTAAATGGAAGTCTTGCTTGTTTTCCATATAGACAAGCTTCACAAAGGTCATTAGTGGGCATGATTTTATTTAAATCAGACATATTATCAGCCATTTGACAACGTTTTAATTGTTGAAATTTGCCGTTGCTAATATGGCCTAAACGTTCATGCCATAAACGAAAGTTGTCGCTATTTCTGACCATTAATGTACTTCCACTCTCGGTCATGTTTTTACTAATTCTAAACTTCACACCAAATAAACCATTATATGTCTTACCTTTTAATATTGTTTTACCCGTCTTATCCTGTACTTGAACACCCTGATCGAATACCACTTTCATACCACTCTCTTGAATTCGACGAATGGATAGTAAGTTGGTTGTAGCCTGGGGTGTAAATAACACGTCTTGCAAGGTTCCAGTAAAACCCAACGTGGTGGTAACGTGGATTAGACCACGCTTTGTCGCCGTCATGAATTCGCCGGTTTTCGCAACAGCAACCTGTAATGGCGGTGACAAAACAGACCAGGAGGTAAAAACGTCATCTCTGTTGACCATATGGTCCATGGCTCCCGAATCGAGAATGAAAACGACGCTGTCAGGGGTGTCATTTTGTAGATTTTCATCACAGCTAGTCGTCATGAAGGCAAAGTGGTCGGTGTTCGCAAGCTTTGATTGTGGTGGTTGTTTATCACCTGGATTTTGTTGTTGCTTTGTCAACATCTGTTTATAATAATAACAGTCACCCTTTTGATGATTGCGTCGGCCACAGTGTTCACATTTCATATGTGATAATTTATAGTAAGATTTCGAAGAGGATGTTTGTCGAAATTTTTGTGCCCTTCTTTTGAAAAATTTCTTCGTATTTCGTACGCTTTTGAAGTTATCTTGACTCCCACTGGGTCTCTGCGATGAATAAGAACTGCTCATTCTTAAGGCGAGGCTTAAATTGTTCGCTCCCAGGGTTTCTTATGCAGTTATTACTCCGTCGTAAGAGGACGGTAACGTCAAGAGTAGATGGGGCACTTTGTCCATCTCTTCTAACACGGCTCCGACTGCAACTAAATCTGCAATGCTGACATCGAAGCGGGTGCAGTGTTGGAATAAGGTGTTATCGCCTTGGAGTTTCAGGCTTAATAGTTGTTTTCTTAACGCCAACTGAGTTGCCAAACTTCTTCTTGTGTAGATATTGTCTAGTTTGGATACTATCTCTCGTGCTTGTTCATTCTATTTCGCAAAACCAAGAAACGAGTCGTGGAGATATTTTACGATGACATTTTTCGCTGTTAAATCTTGTTTCTTCCACTCATTTGTAATCACTGGTGGTACGGCACTGTCTATGACATGTAGCACTTCCAACTCAGCCAACAATGCCCGAATTCTAAATTTCCACACAATATACTTTTCACCCTTAAACGGTTGTATATTTCGCTTTACACGTGTGTTATCCATTTTCAGTTTATTTCGTTTGTCGCGCCGGCACGTAACACGATATACACACACTTTACGCGTAGACTGGGCCCATAACCTCTAGGAAATGGGTTAATTAAAACACAATTGTCCTTAAAGTGCGTGTATTAAAAATGCGATCCGTTCGTTTTAAAAGCTTATTACGAACTAACTTTTAAGATCACAAATACGCATATATAAAATATAAAATTCAAACTGAAGTACTCAGCGTTTCTCGGGCGTCTTACATTTATCGCCCTTTATAAACAAATACTTAACAGTAAGCTAAACAGAGAATGTATGGGATATGGTCGTAATAATTTTTGCCTTAATTAATATATTGAATTACAACAGAATTTGTTCGTCTACTGAAGAAGTTAGTGCTAAGCGGACATAGTCTTCAAAATTGGGAAAAATAAAAAGAAGCAAAAGTACACAGCTGATGCAAACTTTCACCAAGGATCTCACAAAAGGATATATCGAGAACTCAGGGACAGCTGATGCCCCCCAAAATTACAACGTTTACAAATACATTGGACATAGCAAAAAAAAATAGTAATGTTCAATATTTCAAAAATTATTCGAAAATTTGTCATAATTATGAAAACTATTTTTTTTATCTCTACCACTGGTATAAAATGCATCAAAACCTACATCCACTGACATCTAAGGATTTAGACGTTTTGTTTACACCGTTGCCATGGAAACCGTGCGTCCAGTCGCGATATTGGAGTGGAATCGGGTCGTGTTCTGACAATGCCCAGCAGCAGTAACTCAATTGCCGATTTTATTTTTCATTCTGCGCGAGTGAAATTGTTTGATTTTAAATAAAAATAATGAACTCAGTTGAATAGTTAATAAAAAATCGTCCTTTGTGTCACGACGGTAAAATTTTAGTGAAAAATTTAGGGAGAGCCACCCCCGATTTATAGATAAAAAAAGTGTTCATGGTAAAACGAGACTTTAACAGATATTTTAGTGAAACTGAGCCCATAGAATTATTATTAATGATTATTATTGGTTACGGTGACAAAAGACGAAGTTTTGCTCAAGTAGTAATACTTTTCAATGAAATTCATCCTGAGCGAGAACCCATTTCTAAGTCGACGGTTTCAAAAACCCTACGAAGATTTAAGGAAACTGGAAGTCTTAAAGAACGTCCAAAACCTAGCAGGCCTAAAACTACTACAAATAATGAAAATGCTTTTAATGTCCTCTTAAAAGCAACAAAAAATCCCAAAACGTCAGTGCAACAATTAGCGCTGAATCACAATCTTAGTAGAAAATCAATTCAAACAATATTGAAAAAGGAAACGTTTCACCCATAGAAAATCCATTTGGTACAAGAGCTAAACGAAGATGATTTTGATCGTAGAGTTGAATTTACCGAAATTATTATGAACAGAATACAACAAGACGGAAATTTTATCAACAGAATTTTGTTTTCTGACGAATCTACGTTTTGTTTAAATGGTCATGTGGTCAGACACAACTGCAAGTACTGTTTTGACACAAATCCATACTGGATGGAGCAAATCCACACACACCATCCAGAAAAACTAAATGTTTGGTGCGGTATTATTGGTTACTATGTAATTGTTTTTTTTTTTATTATGCCTAGACTTAGACAATTGTTTCCCAAAATTACCAAAATCCGGAGCAGAAAGCATTTGGTTTCAACAAAACCGTGCTCCATCCCATTTTGGACGTCAAGTGTGACAGTATTTAAATGAAAGTTTTCCTGGCAGATGGACAGGCCGAAGAGGTACTATTGAGTGGCCTGCCAGGTCACCCGATTTGACACCACTTGCTTTTTTTGTGGAGCTATTTGAACACTCGCGTTTATGCTAGCATTCGTCCAGAATTTCTCATTCACTCACTACAAAATTTTATTCAGCGTCTGTTTTAGTGCCAGTAAGTAAATGGGGAGCATTATATGGTAGTGCTATTTAAAAAAATCAAGTTGGCCTTGCATCTCGAAAACAAATGAAGCAAAAAAAAATTGTTTTGACAAATACTTACAACGCAATTTCTTATACCCCTATACCTAATTTCAAGTAATTTGTGCAATTGGTTCTCAAGACATTTAACCGTTTCCATACATTCTAGCGACCTGTATGTTAAGACTCAAATACCCAGTTTTACTCACATGTATCACATTCACATTACACCTTTTCTTTACTGCTTTGATTTTTTTTGCAGTGACTCTACAATGCAACCCAAGCAACCGGCAAAACTTCCAAACATCAATACCGTTAGGCGTCGTCTTTTCCAAGATGAAGACAATAACGAAAATGAAGAACCCTCAGAATTAAATATCCAAGACGGAAACGCACAAACCGCGCGGTGGAATTTTGACTTTGCTAACGAAACCCCACTGGAAGGAGACTGGGAATGGGAAAGGGTGGCAGAGTCTGACTGATTCAAGATGTTGCAAGTAAATAAGACGTAGTGCAATAGTACATAGTTTGTAATAAAAATAATTTGCGATCAACAACAATCGTCCCATAGCTGGAGCTAGATGGTCAGCTGTCTGTTTCGTTGTATGTAGCAGACAGTGACAGACAACATGCTCGTCTGTCGCCAACTGTAGACGATTTTTGTTGATCGCACCTTATTAGTCATAGTGAAAGTATTGTTATATTGTATTGTTTACATTCTATATTTATTACAGTTTTTACATTAATCTAGTCTTTTTGTGTTAAAATAATTGTGTATTGTATGTAAATACTAATAACGGAACGGCTACATACCAAAAAAGTGTAACATAATTTAGTGCTAGATTTATTATTACGATGTATTTTTGTAAAGTACTTTTGAATAAACTCTCCGTAAGTAAATTACAGTAATAAAAATTTAGTTTCCATCGTGTCATATCTTTTATCAAAATTGTTCACAAAATTAAAAACATTGTACATAGAGAAAAATAGTCCACGTTCCAGTGAAACAAAAAAAAATATATAAAACAAAACTATGAATAATATTTTGGAAAAATATTTGACCTTTATAGACAAAAGAATTTAATTTATTAAAAAATAAATAGAAACAAGAACAACGTGTCCACAAATAATTCTAGTGACTCGAGAATATTTTTGTTAATTATTTTGCCGCTTTATTCCCACGAAGAGCACATTTTTTTGACAGTTCAAAGCTTAGTTTGATGTCAGAATAATTTATAGACACATTGTACTATTCGAGTACTATTACTGTTCTCTATTGTAGCATTAAATTTTTGCTTATCACAACACATAAAAAATACAGGGCTTTCATAATGTTTGTTACAATTGTGACTTACGAAATTTAAAAATGTTACAAATTTGCCACTTCTTAGTAGTGGTAGAAATTTTTAACATTACAATTAATATGATTAAAATGTCATCTGTTACAATAATTGTTTATCAACTGAACTTTCGTTACGCCAAATCTTTTATATGTTACAACAAAAAGAAATACAAGGAAGTTGAATCTGGGGCGGGAGCTGGCCACAATAAGTATCATAAATATTTTTGTCAAAAAAATATATACATTTTGGATAGACAGTAAAGAAATATTCCTATTAGTCCAAGATTTCTGGTTAAAGCTTGTCAAAAATTTTAATTTTACAATATGTTTAAGAAAAAATCCATTCACTGGGAATGTAATTTTCAAGAAGACATCAGGAAACACGATAGAAGAATAATTCTACAATTTACGTTTTCTTCTGCTCATTATTAGTAGTACATATCATATGTAGTATCTACTACATAGCGAAAAACACATGTATTTTATTAATCCATATTCTTGTATATAATTGACATTCTGAAGAGTCATTTTCCCCCATGGAATGATTAAATTTTGAATCTGGATATTTTTTTGTAGAGTACTTACTTTTCGAGATATGTATTTGAAAGTTTCAGGTTAAAAATCACTCTGTATACCTACAGTTCTGTTCACAAAAATGGACACACATTTTATGTAACATTTTCATAACATAGGATAACTTATTTATTAACTAATAAAAAATAGTAATATATAGCTGGGGGTCACTGAGTTACCCTACTTAGTATGTTATGCACAGTCTGTTTCAGAACGCGCATGGTCGGTGCAGAAGCATACCATAACCTTACTTTTTCGTAGTTTAGTGTTTATTACTTTGTGTCTTTATACCTAAGTGCTAATATGTCGTCGTGGTTTATCCGATGCGGAATTAGATTATTTATTATAGAAAAAAGACTATGAAATTGACATGGACGATGATCTCGAGCGAGATCCAAGTATTGTAACAATATAGAGTGAAGCTTTGGAATCTGAAGATAATATTGAAGTAGAATCGGAAAAAAGTGAAAATGAAAGTGAATATCAGACAGATTTAGACCATCAACAGACAATTCCACTACCACTTACAAATCAAAATCAGGTATATAAAAAAATTACATCTATTTATGCGGAGGTGTACAAAGAATAATTAATTATTTTCAAGTAAACTGTGGAACACAATTCTATCAAAATCTATGTTCTAGGAGGAAATGGAGACGGCCTTTGAAGCTATTAATGAATATGCTTGATATATATAGCTACTCTAAATAGCTTTATAATTTGGATTCACCAAAACCCAAATTGGACGCGTGGGAAAATGAGGGCACGCCGTCAATATCTGTGGGATTTGGGAAAATCCTTACCACTGCCCAGTATGCAAAGAGATTAAGTAGAAACCAATGAAAACCTACAAAAGCCCATCATTCGGGCTCTGATTGCGTGTGGAGTCTGCAGAAGTAAAAAAATTTCGCACCGCTACCCACCGAGAGAAAGAGGGTCAGGTGCTATCTCTGCTCACGGCAGCATGGAAAAAAGGTGCCAAAAGTGCCAAAAATTTATATGTGCAAGTCATCCGCGAATAGAAAGAACCAATACTTGTACTGAAAACTGTACCAATGTAGATTCATGTTTGCTAATGTTATTTCTTTTTTTTAATTCTCGAGCGTAAGCTACTTTTACGTTTTCTCAACCTTTCATGACTCCTAGAGTACGAAGAAATAGGTCTCCCTTTTCCGTCTATCTGTCCGTCTGTCTGTCTGCCGTCACGGTACTGGGCCGATTATTGTCAAATTTTGTATTTATATTAGGAATGTAGATGGTAAAATGCTAAGCAAAATTTGTCTAATCGTTCCCACCAATGTGATGACTTCACTTCAAAATTGCACGTAGTAAATGGGTTTTAAATTGTATAAAATAACATTGTACTACATATGTAGTTTATACCTCCGTATTGAGTTTTTACCCGAAACGTCCAGATTTTTGAAAAACAAATCAAAATCACGAATGGCAAAAGCATGGTAACTTTTTAATCAAAATGTATCTGTTTATCAACCCCAAAAAATTGTTTATGTCATCTCAAAATTTTGCCGAATAAATGATACCTAAAATGTGCAAAAATGATCAGGCTATACTTGAATTTATCATTGCATTCATATTTTTTAGATTTGCTTATACAGGGTTACTCAAGAAAATTAATAAGTCAGTCAATTTATTTTATTGAATAAATCAAGAATTGTAAAACTGAATGCTCTGAAATCTTGCAGATACTTTAGAGTCATGGTAAATTGTTAATCAAAATAAATGTGTTTATTTCCCCCAAAAAACTCATCACGTTATTTCAAAATTTTGCTGAATAAATTCTACCCAAAATATATAAAATATGATGAGCTTTTACTTGTGATTAATCACTGCATTCATATTTTTTATTGATTAAATTAAGAAGGACCCGAAAATGTGAAAATTCAAACGTCTTTATTTAATAAGGATTATAATAATGATATTCAGAACATTTTGTCGATTGTAGCTTACTACTTTAAGCCTCTTTGATCATCTGTTTTGAGGGGACGAACTCATTCAAATCAAACTAATTTCTACGAGAGATTATTCCGATGTATAAACACAAATACTTTCAAGTTGTTTTTTTTATCGAGGATAACCTAAGGACGTACAGTAATGGAGTCCATCGGGCAATTTGATACTTTCATAGTTTCTCGATATTTCATAACCCCTAGACAAGGCCGCAGTTAGAGCGAGGCTAGCAGATACTGAGCCTCCCCTAGATCTAGACATATATAATTAACCAAATGTGAATTACAACATCGAAAATCAAAATAAAATGTCGTGTTTTATTAAATAAGCGGAAGTCAGAGCAATAAAAAGGTCTGCACCGTCGGCATTGCGAACCGGTTATTGCAATTCGTAGAAAACATCTTTTAGTTTAGTCTCTGTTTCTCTTTCACGTCTACAGGTTGATAAGTGTTATCGCTATTTGTTTTAAATTACGAGTACCATAAATGATTTTCACTTCAGTCTTCAGTCGCACGTCTGTTATTACATACGGTAGACGTGATTAAATTGTTCCGTTATTTTTATGATTATAAATCACTATCCGAAAATAACAATAATACAATATTTTTATTACATATTAGTGCTCATTCACAATGGGCATAAAACATAACGATGTCGTAAGCATTAATGCATAAGAATTTATGTTTAGTGCTCTATGCTTCTATTCGTTCACAATGAGCATAATGCTTAGGACATCCGTATGCTTTATGCCCATTGTGAATGAGCACTTGTGCTCATTGTGAAGGAATACAACCATAGAGCACTAAACATAAATTCTTATGCATTAATGCTTATGACATCCTTATGCTTTATGCCCATTGTGAATGAGCGCTTAGTATTACAATGCATCTAGCCAAACTGATATATGGGTCCTTGCAAAAATATGGATGACATCAACACAAAATTTTGTAATAGAAAAACTCACTTGTAACAAACGGTTAACACGTTTGTTTACCTTTACTCAAACATTAGATACATATTTTTATTTTGGCTTATAATGGTTGACATAAAAAACAATAAAATTCGCAAAATCAAATCTTTTAATTTTTCGAAAGAGCTGGATTTGGCAAGCTGTACTTTATGGGCGAGGGAAGTGCTGTCAAAGTAATCTTGGACGATTTTTTTTATTATTAAATAGGGGGTCATTCACTTCACCACTTTTCACTCTTTGCAGTTCACATTGGCTATGAAAACACAGACGGCCGCGACCAACCACTAGTGTCTACACCATTCGCTCTATTTTTAAAGTCACAAACATTCACAGAGCGGGCTTTAAGCTACGAGCATCCTGCAAGTATTGATTTATACTTCACTTGAACAGGATCATATTTCTGCTGTCTGTCGTACTGTTAAGTGTCCTTTCTACCTCCAGTGCAGTGTTTGTTTCATGTAAGTATTACCGTGATTTTATGTATTTTACGTCCGCTATTGCAACTTTTGAGGAAATAACCGGCGTAAATCCAGTTTGATTGCGTTAGATTTGTCTGTCCTTTTCATCGGGGCAACGTGACACGTGGAATAAATTTCAGGACAACGGGGCGTACTAATATTAGGTGTGTTCCAGCGGTGTTGCTGGGCTTAAGTCCTTCAGTACTAAATATTCCAGTTTATTCTAAAATATTAACTATTTTCGTCTGTATCATTATTCAAATAAAGTGGAAACACTTCGCCCCAGTACATGGAACTCGACGAATTCTTAACATTTAGAGCAGGTCATATCAGTTACGTTGTAAACAATAACACTTCCATCGGTCAACTTTCCGAGTTTCTTGAGGATATTATGAATCACAAGAGCAGGGTGAAGGTCTTTTATCATATCATAATGCCGTAAAAATTTTAGGCATTTAGCCTTGAATGGATACTCGGAATATAAGTGGCAAGGGCTTTGTTTTTAATCTCAGACTAAATATCCTTTCACAGTTTGATTTGATACCGAACGTGTCTTGAAAATTGAGTGTGTTTCTTAAAATTGATGACCGATTTTCGTATAATAGCCGCGACTTGCAGTTATATTCGCATTTTTGCTGTACTTCCTGTGCAGATAACGTAGTTGTCATCGGTTCATTCAGAGATATTTATAGCTTACCACCTTGCACTGTATAATTTTACAATTTTCTGGCATTCTGTGAACTGTACTTGTATACCTTTTTAAAGAAACTTGAACAAGGCGCGTCAATAGTGCGAAATTCATTAGATCGATTTGTTCTTTACCGTTCGAAAGAATGCTAACTTGTATTTTGTTTTTTTTATTCTCTGCAGCGGTCATTTTTACTGTTGGTGATTACAATTGAAAAATTTTACTTTTAAATAAAATTATTATAAAAGAATGGACGGTTGTAATTGCCAGCGATTCCTCATGTTGGCAGGTAATCGACAGGTGCAACAAAAAATTATTTCATAACAATAACACCATTTCAAAGAATTAAACGCAATTAAAATAATTTTATCTTGTCAATTTATTGCAGTGATTCTACGATGCCAGTCAAACATCCACAAGAATTTCAAAACAGGCAAAGTGTGAGCCGATGTCTTTTTCAAGATAACGAAAACGAAGAGCCACTTGATCCAAATCTCCAATTAAGAAATGGTCAAACAGCACAAGAGCAATGGAATTTTGATTTTGTTAATGAAATTCCACTCGAAGGAGAGTGGGAATGGGAACGTGTTACCAAATCCGACTGAAATATTTATCAGTTTGCATTAATATACCTATAATAATTAATTACGTGGTGCAATGTTAATTTTATTCACAATTCGTCTACTGGAGGCTATTGTTAAGTTTTATTAGCAACTTTCTTAGAATTCTTGTGTTTGTTTCTAGTCTTTGTTTTAATAAACTGTAAATTCTGTGTTAATACAACCAAGTCGATGGCAGCTACCAAAGTATGTACGTAGGTTTAACTTATAAAATAATGTATTTACAGGGTATTGAAATAATGTGATATCTGATTTTTGCTTTCTATTAAAAAAGGCAAGTATTAACGTTGTAGCTACTATTGTGTATAAAAATTATGTAACATTGTTGAAAAGTAGTACTTAATGTAAAAGTACTTGTGCTTCTAGAGATCGTCTATTTTATTAATGGTATTCTATTTAGATATCATTATCTTTGCCAAAATAGTAACTACAACAATGATTAAAGCTGTTCTTCCAGTTTCCGACATTTCACTTTTTACAGAAAACATATTTTATACAGTGTTTTAAAACTAAGGTAAATTTTCCAAATGTAACCACCACCGTGCCATAATACATTTTTATATTCTAGTTATCTTTATTTTTTTCACGCCTCCTACTGATACCTCAAATCACAAGAAAACTATTTCCCGGGAAGACAAATTTGGGACACAATTTTTCTTCACTCAGTTTATTCATTTTTGCCACCGTCACACTTCATTTTTGATTGCTCACCCACGCAGAGCTAGATCGGTGCAAATGCACTTCAAATTTTCCAGACCATGAAATATAAACAGCGCACTAAAAAATTATGTTAATTCATCTTTGTCAAAAGGCAAGACAGGATGGGTGTGATTCAGATTGTCGAATAAAGACCGGCGAAGACGCTCAACCATGAAGAGTTAAATACGTTAATTTCTAACCCCTCACAAAGCGCGTCGTGCCTTTGTTGAAAGTGAGTAATAAATGAGATCATTTATTTAAGCTCAGAAAAACTTGCTAGAATTTCGAGAATTTATTTCATCTAAATGTTTGAAATATGACTGGGCACTGTGTACTCTGTACTAAAGTGACTTTTGATAAATAGGTGGGTCTTGACACATTTTAAAGAAAAGAATCCGGAAAACTTGTGTATCGTTTCAACGGGAGTTGGAGATTCTTTTAAAAGCTAAATAGATTGCATGAAAAATTTGTAGGAGTTACATTTTCGTGTGTTTATTTTAACAGTATTTGTCACAGGCATGTGTGCAACTGAACATGTGGAAGATTCATTTTGTGGATTCGTTTACAAAGGTTATGTAAATTGCAAGGTGGCGGATATTATAAATTTAGCACGTTTTAGTACCTACTTTGACTTATATTCTGCTGCTACTGATTAATACACTCAAGTAATGACTAAATTTGCAAATGACCACTCGACGATGATGCAAAGTCATTCAGCTGAATGATCGATCGATCGTCTAAGCAGTAATTGGAACAATTACTTTAAAAAGTAATGCATTACTTTTACAATTCCTTTTTGCTCTTTGAAAAAATTTGATGAGGACACAATTTTAGATATTTGTTGTATGGATCTAAAGGGGCAACAAAAAACGTGTTAGAATGAAAAAGACAGTGAGTGATTTATTTTACTAACGCATTTGTTACAGACTCACATCAGTAAATAAAATAAAAGAAATAAATGCTTCACGCAAGAGGACTATATTCATAATTTAAATTCAATAATAACTGACACTCAAAATTTTCGTCAGCTAAGGCAGCCTAATTTCATTCCACTCTAGCTACAAATAAAAGTTCGATGCGAACTGCAACAACTTTTAAACAAAAATTTGCATTGGTGGGAGATTTCAAAATATCTAATTGGCTACGTGTAAATGTATCGTAAATATTAGTCCACCGATAATTACCTGCGGACGCAAATCTTTTAATCTTTAATAAAAAGGATGTTCTTAAGTGCTTAAAAGTCTGTCTTTAATTGCCTTTTACTTGGCATTGTGACTTACAGATTAAATTTAGAAAACCTTAGAGGGTGGACACTCTCATAAAATTTTATTGTCCGATTAATAGGGATTTGAAAGGACGCGCTCTATGAGTTACCTGTTATAGATTTGAGTGGACCAGAAAAAATGGCTAAAGTTTGTTTGACCACAAATTTTAAATATTATGCCCCTGTTTACTCAATTATTTATTAAAATATTTTATTTCTGTAAACCGCAATGGATTTTGTAATACAATTTCTACTAATGTACCTTTTTGAACATTTAAAATTGATCCATAAATAGCGAAAACCAGATAATCTCATACTTATCACAGTTTTAACGCGTTGTAGTTTTTTTTTTTGGCAACGAAATTTAAAAAACGGAAAAGCAGTCTGGGTAGGACTTTTTACGCTCATTTCAACGGCGTGAAGTTTATTACAATCGGACGTATACTTTTGGCAAAAACTTGGACAGAAGTTTATATGTACTTCCCTATGTTGGAATATGCTTTAGCTCACCCTTAAAATGATGAAGAGCTTATGTATATTATGGTTACCTGGTTTCTTAACAAATTCTGTGCTAAACTGGTTTTAGATTTTAACTCCCTACTGGGTTAATCCTCTTTTTATGTTAGTGAGATGTTAGCAGTGTGGCGACCTATGTGTTTACCCCCACTTGCCGGAAGATCGTATTTTCGCGCTATTTGGGGGAACCAACCAGTGGACGGAAACAGCCACCCGGACAAAAGCCCCGCCGGACGCTTACTTGTAATTGAATTACTTCCAACCACTGCGTTTAAGTAAATTTTGTTTATTTTCTGCATGTTTTAGTATTAACTTGACAGCTGAGAGTAAGTCGAATAGATAAAAATGCGGTCAAAAAATTGTTCCTTTTATTAAACAATAAAAATTAATTACGAAAAATTCATATTTGTTGTAATCAGTTATGCTATTTAAGTGGGTAGTAAAAACATCTCATAATTGTTGTTACCAATCACAGGAACCTGCAGTTTGATAAAAGTATTTTCCACCATTTTCCTATTCTAATCTTCTCGTGATAGTTGTGTTGTTGTCAGGTCGTATGATTCTAGATTATTTCTATGTTTGTTGTTTTTCATCCATTCAATACAATCTCTGTGTTATACAGGGCTTTTATAAATGATTCTAAGGGCGTAGTTGCCATGGATTTCAAAAATCCCGCTTCGCTGAAATTATGCCCGTGATTATGCATCATTATGACACATTAATGTCTAATGTCTCACTTGTCACATTAATGTCTAATGTCATTTGTAACCTGTCATTTAAAGTCGTCATTTCGGAAGTCGGAAATTGACGACTTGAACAGAATTGAACAATTGAACGAAAAAAAAAAACTGTTGACGAAAGAATGTTACAGAACATTTTTTAAATTAAAAAGAGAGTGAACATGTGCCTTGAACAGAATGATGAACATTTTCAACCTTTCCTATGATGTTTAACCGCAATAAATTTGTTTCTTTTTATCGTAATGAATTAGTTTTATTTTTTAAAAACATATGAAGCGTTTAGGTAACCAGTTACACACATGTGTGTGGTCCATCTTTGTCATGCATCCTTGGGCACTTTGCACGGATCTCGGAACACTTAAATCTGAGAGGCGGCACGTTTACATGACCTACTGCGACCCTACAAAAATTTATAAAAACCCTGTATAATTCTTTTTTTTCCAATCAAAGCTTTGATGATTTATCATCTACCACAGTGATGACTTGTTTTCGATAAATCATTACAAAGCCTCAACAGTTTAATAATAATAGTGTCGGGTGGATGGCGCTGGCGACAATAACTACTCATGGTCTCCTAAGATGCCTTCGGTAAACGTCATCCTATGCTTGAAGTTCCCTGACAGTGTTGGGCAGTATCTAGATACTTGTATCTAAATAAAGTATCTAGATACATTTTTGGGTATCCAGTATCTGTATCTAGATAAAATCGAATTTAAGCAAAAAATATCTGTATCTAGATACAAAAATAATTGCGCAGATACAGATACATTTTTTTATTTCACTTTTTTTTTCAGTAGTTGTTAGTTGAGTTATACTAGTAGTAATTTTTGATACTTCATGTTGGTGATTTTGGTCACATAAACAAAAATAGAGGTAAGAGGTCCACTAATAGTGTTCTGTCACGGAAATTTTCATATTTTAAATACCATCATTTCCTACATTGTACCCTTCAGTACTTATACATCTTTAAATATAATCCTGAGGGGTAATAAATCTAAGCCATGGTAAGATGGGTATTTTAAAAACCATAAACCACAATTCACCATTCACTGCGTTATACCCTTGTCGGGGCAATGCATTTTATCTGTGTACCTGAGCAACCCGGGTCCGGTAGGCCCGCTGGTTGTATTTGTGCTATTAAAGAAGAGTAATTTTAATAGTATATTTGTTTAAGGTATGTTATTATTTTTACAAAATAATAATTGCGTGTTACATAATGATTAATTTTTTCAATTAGCACAAATTAGTTCTGTAATCGACTAATCGAATGTTTAATACATACATTTCTCTCGCATAAATCGCATATTTGTTATTGTTTTATTCCTTTATTTTTCAGACAAATGTAGCATCTTTTCCTGTTGCCACATGTGTCATTTCTTCACTTTTTCATTGTTGGACCTAACGCGAGGCGGGCTTGGCAGGTCTGTTTTGCCCTAGAATGTGCCGATTATGTTTAAGTGTAAATCTTGGGCAATAAAATTAATATATTTACAACTCTCGGTAGAAATAATTTATCGTAATATATATTCTCAGAAATCGTGAAACGAGATTAAAATAAAATGAGTTTCAACAAAAATCTGAAAATTTAAAGTTGCACTCTGGTGAATCCGGCCTGCCAGGCAGCCTTTGATCCTACAAGGGGTTTAAATACCTTTCTAAGAAATTGTACTTACTTTGCCTTAAACTGAACTAGCAATTCTTCCTATAATGTATATATCTACCGCACCGGGATAGACGATTACCGGACATGCTCATAAAAACATCGTAAGCCAATATTGAAGAATAATAATTTATGACAGGTTACCGACGTTTGAAATATTAATTTTAATGCTGGAGATAATTATTAGATATACTCAAACAAAACTTGGACACTGTAGTATGGGAATAAAAACAAAAAAAAATATTCTTTTTAAGCGTACGTAATAAATATTGCACAATTTGCGACACATCAAACAGCGAAGCGATGGCCTATTTGCAGGAAAAAAAAAAGATTTTTCAGTCTTGAATAACTATACTACAGTAAAATGTTTATTTTTTAAATTTAATACCACAATCCCTTCGTCTACATCTGTGCAACGGGTGTTTAGTAGTGGAAACCAAATTCTGACACCAAGAAGAAATAATTTAAGTGACAATACGTTCGAAATGTTGTTATTGTTTAAAAAAATCATTAAACAATACATAAAAAACGCATAAACATTTTTTTAGTTATTTTATTCGCCAAAGCTTCAAAAAGTATCTGTTTCCTTGTATCTGTATCTAGACACATTTCGAAAAAATCGAAAACAATCTGTATCTAGATACTTTTATCTTCCATATATCTATATCTGTATCTAAATACTTTTAAA